GGCGTCGCGCAGCTCCAGCCGGTCACGCGGGTCCGCCAGCTCGAACAGGCGGAAGGTGAGCTCCAGCGCCGCGCCCGTCGGGCCCACCACCCAGCTGCAGTTGCGATCTGGCCCATACTCGTCGGGAAAGTCCGGAGAGTAAATGACACCCTGAGGCGCCGTCCAGTTTCCCTGGCAGGAGCCCACAGACACTGCATGCAAGACCAGTGGTCAAGACCCTGAGGTCAGCGGAGCTGTCCCTTAATGGTCACTGCTTCCGGTCCAGCTAGGCCCCGACCCAGAAGAGCCCAATCTACTCGAGGCCCCACCCCAAACCCAGGTCCTGCCTAACTTCCTGCCTTTCGACCAATCCTTGCAAAGGTCCTGTTCTCCAGTTCCTTTTTCTGACCTGCTGTCAATTCTCATCCTCCCCCCAGGCAGGAACCCCAGCCTACCGCTCCCCCTTTCCTGATTTTGCCCCATTAGGGTATGGGACACCTGGCCCGTCCTTATCTCTTCACCAAAAGGACCCTCCAGCCTACCACTCACCTTCGTAGATGCCTAGCCGCCCGTCGCCACCACACAGCTGGCCCGGGTGGCCGAAACAGATCTGGTCACAGTCAGTGGCAGGTGCCCCAAGTCCCCGGGCCAAGTCGCTCTCAGAGCCACAGAAGCAGGCATAACCAGCCTCCACACCAGCCAGCTGGGAGCACAGACTGGGTGACCCCAAAGGCAGGGACACCAGTAGGGATGGAGTGGTGGGGTCAGAAGTGGGAATCAGGCTAAAGGTTCAGAAATCAGTCAAGGTTTGGTGTCAGAATATTGGGAGTGGAGTCCTGAGGTCAAGGTCAGTCGGGGGTCACTGCCCAGTGCTCATGGGCAGTACCATACCTGATACCCCTTCATGCGGCAGAAACGAAGGCACACCTGGACTGTGAGCTTCGTGGAGGTGCCACTGGGGCCGCTGAGAGCTGGGGGTGTGCCAGAGTCCACAAAGCAGCCCAGGTAGCCAGGCACTGGCGGGACAGTGGGGTCAGGCTCCCGCTTCCAAAAGCAGCCCTCCCACAGCATTTCTCCCTCTCCAGCCGGGTCCACCTACTGTGGCACGTGGGGATGTCACAATAGCGCCAGTAGATGCCCTCCTCCGTCTCAGCCACATAGCACCATGGTTGCACATCACCGTCTGGGTTCCTGGTGGGGGGAAGTCAGAATCCCACTGCCCCTGTGTGCAGTGTCCCCCCAGGCTCCACTTGGTAGACTCCGTGCACACAGGTTCTAGTTTTCTCCATGTGTTTCTCAACATCACCTTGGCTGTTGCTAGGACTTGACCTCATGTTTTAGGACTTTACCCTCAGTCTTGGCCTCTCCCCTGTCTCAGAGCCTTGTTTGTTTGTTTATTTGTTTACGTATGTAATTCAGGCTGCCCGTGAACACACTGTGTAGCCCAGGGTGGCCTTGGACTCACTGCAATCCTCCTGCCACAGCCTCCTGAGTGCTGGAATTGCAGGCGTGCACAATAGTGACCCGCTTGGAGCAATGGTGATGAACCCCAAACTTTGCAGTTCCAGAGAAGCGGCCTCCCTAGGTCCTTGCCTCTGAGGCCAACTGGGGCTCAGATCCAAATCCCTCCATCACGCATAGTTGATGCCGCTCAAAGAAGTACAGCAAGAGGCTGTCTCTTTACTGTAGGGCTCCCCCTCTGACCAGGCCCTGCTTCAACCGGCCCCCGATTCTTTCTTGGACCTGACGAGCTCTGCCGAAGTTAGGCAGTTAAATCCTAGTCCTTTTGCGAACAGGCTCTGCTCCTTCCGCCCCGCCCCCTGTGCAAGATCCACCCCCCGTTGGCCCCGCCCTTGGTTCCTCAGGCTGAGAGGACCCGACCCCCCCAGGGCACCAACCACCACCAGCAGCTGGGCGTCGGGCCTCGCCCCTCACCGGCAGAAGTTGTGAGCGCCGAGCCCCCAGCGGCCCTGGGGATCACTGGCGCTGCTGTAACTGTGCTGCTGCGTTTGGTCCCAAAAGAGACACGGGCGTCCGGTCCCGCGCGGGCCCGTGTGGTTCTGGTGGCCACGGTAGTCGGCGCCATTCACCTGGAAGCACTCGGACAGACCTGCCGGGCAATCGCGGGACCTGGGGAGGCTGGACCCTCCTAGGACATCACCCACCTCCCGCCGGGGTCGCTGGCAGTACCCCTGGCGTCCGCCCCAGCGGGGCCCTAGGGCTTTTCAGCGGCTCCCACCACCTGCTCTGCCGCCTCTCCAGCCTCGGGCCCCCAACTAGCCCCGGTGCAGAGGCCGAGGACCGAGCAGTGACCATGACCTGGCCTTGTACCTGACTCACCTGGGCTGTTCAGGCTTCCCGCCCAGGCCCTGTGCGGCTGCAGCAGCAGAAGAAAGAGGAGGAGGCCCAGCAGGGCCCGCGTCCCCATCCTCCCCAACCAAGGAGAGGTCGTCCTGGCCCGGATACCACCGGGCCGCCCCCGGGGCCGTTCCGGGGTCTCCTGGGCGACCTTGGGGGCGTTGTCTTTGCTGTTCTCTCACTCTTTGGGCGGCGCTGTCTGCCTGGGGGAAGATATCTCCCGGGATCTTTGCCTCCCAGGGTCTGTACCTCTTGGACGTAGGCGTCTCTGTGCCCCGTCCCCGCCCGGGGGTCTCAATCTCTGCCTCCCCTGCTCCGGTAGTGCCTCGGCCTCCGCGCCCTCCCCCTACCGCTGCGCCCGTCTGCTGGCGTCTCCCTCGCCTGGGTCTCTAACGCGCCAGCTCTTGTCCCCCTCGCTTCCCCCCGGGTCCCCCCACCCAGGGA